TCAAATGTTTGCCCAACGTATTACAAAAAACTGATTTGTAGAATTGCAATATTACGCCGAAAAAAAAATTTGCTTAAATGTTGGCCCAATATAGTACGATACTTGCAAAAAACCGATTTACAGAATCGAAATTAATACGCCGAAAAAAAACATTGGCTAAATATTGGCCCAACGGAATAAACTTGCCAATGTTAAAATTTACGTTGGGCCAATGTAAGCATGCTGTCTGGGTAATACTCTTAAGAAGTCTTTTATCGTAATTTATATATGCAAAATCTTTTGTTTTAACTTATATATACATTTACTTTTTTTAATTAACTTTTGTTTTTGTAATATTTTTGGAACGCGCATGTATTATTTTAGGTACATCTTATTATTTATGCTAATGAGTTCTTATATCTTAGATATACATATATATATACTACCATTAAAACTTCCAGATATTCTATTTGACAAAGTTAGACTAAATCGAGCGTTCTCTGTTAAATTTCTCGGGGTATTATTAGAAAAAATATTATCTGGAAAGACCACATTTATATATTAAAAAACAAAATATCTAAAAACATTGGAGTTATGCATAAAACCAGATATATTTTAAATAATGCATGCCTTTCTTTACTTTTCTTTATATTATTTATGTGTATTATTTATGTGTATGTGTATTTGTATGTACGTGTATTTGCGTATACAAATATATATATATATATATATATATATATATATATATATATATATATATATATATATATATATATATATATATATATATATATATATATATATATATATATATATATATATATATATAAGAAAGTTTCAAAAACTCTCTTATATTATACATACACGATACCTAGATAAACGATCCGCAATCTCAATTTACCTACTGTCAGTAGTACCATGAAAGTATAAATTAGATGGAAGTTCAACCGCATTGAAATTCTTGTAACCTTTTGTTTTGTAAACAATAAGAAAACGATATCAAGACTGTCTTAAACGCTTAATCTTTATACGTTTACGCAAATAGATACGTTTATAATAATCTAAAAGTATAGTATTTTGAAGATTCGCTAATAATATTCAAGAAAAACATTAAAAATGGCGCAACATAGCGGCAAACAATAACTTTTTTTATAAACTTCATATTAAATGAATGGAGTACTACAAGAATGATATACAGATATGATATACAGCTAATAAAACTTTAAACTTTAGTTATTTAGAAAACAATTTTTTTGATTTTTAAAAATTGTTTTAGTTGTCTTTTTTATCAAATGTCGTGTCATGATTTAAAGCAAGAAAAGAAGCTTAAACTAACATATGCTTTTAAAATCAAGCGGTTCTATTTAATTACCGAGTTTTAATAAACCTTTTGCTGAATAATTGCAATTACTAAATTACTAAATTACTACAATTACTAAAAAAAAAAATGCTATTACTAAATTTGCAGCATATCCTTAGAATAATTCATTTTTTGATGTTTTAATAAAGATCGTTTCAGTGAATTTTGTTGTTTTTTTATGCAATAAAACTTGTTTTTTTTTTATTGTCGGCTACAAGCATACTCTCGAGACGACTTGAAATTGCTTTGATGTTTGTGGCTCGATGAACTTCCATCTGTTTTATACTTTCATAGTAGTACTGACGTTAACACTTGCAGATGTTTGTTCTTGATATTACATAAGTGGATTCATAATATGTTTAGGTTTCACTCAACGGTATGTAAATATCCAATTGTGTTTCATTTAGTTTTTTTTAAGTAAGTTATTTTTAAATTATATGGAATTTACGAGCTTATGATCACTTTAAAAAAAGGAAAAGTTAAAAATTGGTTTTAGAAACAGTTATTGATATTATAAATGCATAACTGTTTATAAAATATTTTGATTAATTTTCGACAAGTTTTTGCATTTAAAACTGAACCTTAAATATTTATACAATCATAGATTTCTTTTTTTCATCAATATATGATATTGATGAAAAAAGGAAATCTATGATTGTAATTACAATTTTGAGGTGTACTGTTTGTTTAGACAGAAGTTTAATTGCTATTTATTTACTACTGAACATTGTCGTCTTTTACTCTTTTTATGATGTAGCTATAATATGTTTTTCTGTTTTTGTCTACACATAGGCTTTATCACTTCTTCAAAAGCAAAATGTAACTGTTTCTTAAATTTATATACAGATATGTAAACATATATGTAATAACAAGATGTCATTTACGCAAATGTAAAAATTCTATTTGTATAGAGAATATATCAACGTCTATAAGTGAAAACGTCCTAAGCATAACTTGAGTTTGCGGGTGGTATATCTAACGATCGCATATAATATATATAGTATTTGAAAACTTAAAAATTTATTTTAGCAATTATAAGTCTTTTTAGCAATATATATATATATATATATATATATATATATATATATATATATATATATATATATATATATATATATATATATATATATATATATATATATATATATATATATATATATATATATATATATATATATATATATATATATATATATACTATATATATATATATATATATATATATATATATATATATATATATATTTATATATATATACATATATATATATATATATATATATATATATATATATATATATATATATATATATATATATATATATTTATCTTAAGTAAAAGGCTTAAACTTGTCGTTTTTGCATAAAAAAACGGTATTTAACTACTCTATGGATAATAGGTATTGTTGTTTATTCTCCGGCTAATTGCCAAATAGAGGCCATATACCCGGGCCAACGAAAACAAGTTCAGTTCAGTAAAGAGCATCATCACCCGCTTCGCTGACTACAAGTGAGAAAGTGAGTAAGAAAATACGAAGAAAGTTAGAGCTAAAATTAGAGTTACAGTCAGAAGAAATCGAGTAAGAAAGATTGAGAAAGCAGACAGATAATTGCACTAGATATTAGAATGTGCAATTTAATTACTCTATGATAAAATTAAGGTTAGATTATAACAACGCATTTATTTGATTGAGGAAGCTGATTAAATTTATTGTTTTTTTTTAAAACCACAATCGCGCAAACTAAGTTTTAAAAAACATTCTAAACGTTTTTTTATATTTTTTTTTTGAATAAAAACATTCTAAATGTTTTTATTTTTACTTTTTTTACTATAAAACATGCGTGGAGTTGAGCTATATGACTATCTTATAGCCTGCTGCTACAAGGGAGTGCTGCTGCATAGACTGAGGGTTTGGTTAGGCAGGCAGTCTATCAAAAAATAAAAAAAGATTTTTTTTAAAAAAAAACCTAAAACTGACCTGACGATAGTAAATTTAAAAGAAAAGTCAAAAAGTTAATCATTTTATAAATCTCTTATACCAATTGCAAATTGTCTTTTTACAATATGAGATTAATTTAAATTTTATTTTAACAGTTAGAAGCTTTTTTAGTGCTATATGTATATATATATATATATATATATATGTATATATATATATATATATATATATATATATATATATATATATATATATATAATATATATATATATATATATATATATATATATATATATATATATATATATATATATATATATATATATATATATATATATATATATATATATATATTCTCAAGCCCACAGATTTTTAGAGTATTATTGCGCCTTATGTTCAATTAAAATCTCCGCGGAAGGGAGCCAATAAAATTCTACTTCTGGTTAGTATTTAAATTCTGCATGACATCCTTTATGGACGACCCCTAATCTCTAATTTTTAGTTGACAAGAAAAAATTTATAATTACATTAAAGGAACAAAAAAAGAATTTCCTTGCAATAAACATTCATTAAAAAATAAATAAGTACTAAAGAAACAAAAGAATTAATTACATTTTAATTCAAGAATTAGATTTTGTAGAAATATTAGAAGATAAAAAATCGACGATAAAAAATCGTCGATTACTTTAGAAATGACTAGAAAAGTGTGTAAAATCAATAAAACCCGCATTTATTTTATGACTCAACTTAACCCAAGCAATTTGTTGCAACTTACCCCGTAGAAATCATGATCACTTTAATCCATGTATATAATTATTTACATAAAATAAATCTAATTTTTTTAATCTTTTTGTATTTGAAAAAGATTTTTTTAACATACCATTATTTTAATATGCTCATAATTCTTTAAGTTTACAGTGAAACCCAAAAAAACTTGAAAAACAAAAATTAGAGTTTTATATCAAAAAAACAAAATTGTCAATAACTTTTGAAATTTTCAATTACTGTAAGATTTTTATAACTGACGTGTTATAATTATAGTTATATAATGTAAAAACATAATTAGGAATAATATGTAAAAGCCATTCTTTAAAACGCATTGTTGCAACTTAGCCATGTTCCAACTAGCCCTGGTTTGCTCTAAATACAATTTCTTTTTCAACTATATTAAATTTTTTTTTATATGAAAATTCAACTTGTTCTATTTGCCATTTTGCCACGTTTCCCCGATAATTATTAGGCTTTAGTAATTTATAAATTACAAATAATTTTAAAATTCAAGCCTCAGCTTGTATTTTTAAATTACTTTTTTTGTGAATAAATACTTTTTGATACAAATCAATGTTAAAAAAAACCATATTATTTGGAACAATATAATTAGACCCTTTTTTATTTTATGTATTGATTATGCAAGCAAAACATTTTCCTTTTTAGGCGTCCTTTATTAGCAATGTTAAGGAGGCTTTTTTGAAATTTGAAGATCATTTATAAAAACTACTATTTCGACCGACTTAATCTTTTTTTTTTTAATTATGGAATTATTAAAAACGTTTCCAGAAAGCAATTACGTATTGAAAAATGTAAAATCAAAGAATTTTTTATAAGTTTTAATAACCTAATTTTATTACCACATTTAACTTTTAACACCATTATTACCTAGATTATCTTAGTATGTGTCTCGCTAACAAAAAAGTGTAATTCGACCAGAAAATACAAAAATAATTTGAAACGAGTTATATTAAAGCTCATGTAAAAAAAAGATTTATTTTAGTTGTTTTCATTACTTTTTACCAACCGTCTTAACAACAAATGGCATGTAAGGAGCAACTTTTCTCCATCGTACTCTTTGAATAGCTCTACGAAATCTCCATGGCTTTGCATCATTGAACTCTAAAAATTTTAACGATACTTTTTTTTTTAATTTACCCAAAACTTGCAGTGGATAAATTATAAATAAAGAGAAAAAGTAAACTACCTCTAACGTTACTATCTAATACGTCACTTTCCTCTTCAAGATCTTCAAATATTTCTCTTTCAACTTCATTTTTAATTTCTTCTTTCACATCCTCATAGCCTAAGTTAAATTTATGTTTATGACTTTAATGTAATTGCATTTATTTTTTTTTTTTTTTTTATTATTATATTTTCTTTGCCGTATAATTAAATTTACAATGAGAAAAAACCATTCATGTATAAAAATTGGCCGGAGCAAGAAGAAGACATAAACTGTCTTATCGCCAAGCCCCGTTTACATTAACGTCACAAAGTTACAAGTTAAAAACTAAAAGGTTAAAAATTGAAGTACAATACAATATTAGTTCGACAAATATAAGACACAAGTAATAAATCGAATAAATGTTATTTGTCTGTTCAAAATTAATAGTATATATATTTTTTATTTTAATAAGAAATAAACAAGATACACAAGACAATAGTAAATGAGTAGTGATGACTTTTTCAGGTTTAATTATTTTTGGTGATTTTAGAAGAAATCTTTAAAATCGAAAGTTTTTTCTAATAGAAAACGTTTAGATTCTCTTTTGAATTGTTCTAAGGAGATGCCTCGAAGAATTTTATTTTTAATTATATTTTTTAAAAAACCTTTCCATATAAATGGTCCCCGGTATTGAATTTGAAATGAATTGAGTTTTAAATAAGATCTTGGAATAACAAAATTATCAGATGAAAATTTAGTGGGATATTTATGAGATATTTCGGTAAAGTAAGACTGAAATATATTAGGAGATAACGCATGTTTTGTTTTAAACGTAAATAGGATAACTTGGTATATATTAAGTTTGTAAATATTAAGCACATTAAGTTTCTTTAAAAGAGATTCACCATTAACAGTTCTGTTAACGCCAAAAATAATCCTACAAGCATGTTTTTGTTTGCTATTTTAATGTTTATATTATGTACATATTTAATTTTCTTTGAATGCTTACAAAAAAAACAAACTTTTCGATAGAAATTATATTTTAGATAGAAGATTTAATTGAATTTATTAATTAAATAGATTTAACAAATTATAGATGTAATAAACGAAAAAAAGTAATATATTTTTAACTAACTTTCTGCATATGTGAACGCAATGCATGTCAAAAACAAAATGACAAAAACTGGCTTCATTTTCCAAATCAACTTTTTAAGAAATGAAGGTAGAACAGTATTTATACTAGCCAAAGGTAAACATCGCGTGTTTTTTTAAAAACAGTAAATATACATTTTAACATATTTTACCACGCTTGGCTTAAAAAAGGTCCAACAATGAAAAATTGGCTGTTTCATTTATGTTTGGCTTAATTTCTATTAGGAAGTTTGCTTTTAAGCTCAATATACTTTGTTATGTCATTTTTTTTAAAACCATTATTTGTATAAATAGATTTGCTAGCTGTAAGCGCGTACAAAATTTATTTTTACAAACAAATGTAATATCGTGTTGCGTAAAATAACGCGTATGCGCATGCTATATAACCGTTGATAAGTTCAAATAAGAATTAAAGAATAAAGGTTATTGTGACTAAAGGTTTATCAAAACTCATCAATTAATTTTATTTTTACAGCCGCCTTATTTTTTTAATTGCAAAATTAAGTCTCGAAAAAATCATTAGCGGTAAATCAAGTGACTTTTTAATTTGAAAAACTCATGTTTTAACTTTTCTAGCATCCCAAGCAAAGAAATATCTCAAGTATATACAAAATATTAGTCACCAGTAACTTGTAAAAATTGAAATACTTTGTCAATATTAACATTATCTCAGTCTTTACCATTGTCATATGACAAGTTGCTTGATCCCAGTTGTCAAATTCCGAAATGGTATATGATGGGACCTCCAATGGATATCCAAAAACATACACGTTGTCATTTTTTACTTATTAAAAAAAAAAACAGATACATGTATATTCCCATACGGCACTCCGTATAACGTTCATATTGGCATTAGTTGCACAAATAGAGTGAAGCCTACCATTAAACCTATTGTAAGTTTTTTAAGTTACTGAACATCAAATCCAGAAACTATGAAACAAGATAACAAAATCGCATTTCCATTAAGTAATCTAGTTTCCAATTTATAAGGTTATTTAGTTCATTTTCAAGCTAAAAATGCAAAAAGTAATTTTAAGAAAGTATAAGTTGTTAATTACAGCTATTTCGAAAGAAAATAAATAACCGATAACAAGTTAACTATTACGGTGTAGGTTCATAGAATTCACTAAAAGCTATTAACCGGAAACACTAAGGATAAGCATTTGTAGTTAAAACTATCTTAGAATTTTGAATTTTTCTCTAGTATACAATATATATATATTGCAGTAAACTTGTATGAGTTTTTAAGTCTTATAAATAAATTACTCATAAAATATAGCTGTTTAAATTAATGTGGAGTAATTGAACACTTATGTATTGGGTAAATGAGCACCTTTTGAATTAACTGGTTTTTATTCTTATAATATTTTTAATAATAAATTACAAACAATTTGAGTTTTTAGCTCATATTTTTCATTTTTTTATAACAGATTTGTGGAAATGTTGAGAAAATATATAAAATCAACTCAAAAACAGTCCAAAACTTACTCTGATAGTGAACTTAAAAAAGCTATCAAACTTGTTAATTATGGAGAACCTTGTAAACGTGTGGCTAAGCTACTAAACATACCACACAGAACTTTAAGGTGTCATATTAGTGGTTTACGTAAAAGTAGTGTGGTTGGTCAAAAGAGTTCATTGCTACCAGACGAGGAAATGTCAATTGCACAATACATTGCAACTTTTAGTGATTTTGGCTATGCATTTGATAAAATAGACTCTAAATTATTTGTACAAAGTTTTCTTAACAAATCTGGAAGAGACTGCCCATGTTTTAAAGAAAATTTGCTTGGTGATGATTGGGTAAGACAATTTTTAGAGCGGCATAAAAGCCTTTTGTTTTATAGAACATGTCAAAATATTTGTAGAAAACGTGCCACAATTTCATGTGATTATGTTAACAGATTTTTTAACAACTTAGAAGATACTATAAAAAATGTTCAACCACAAAACATAATATACTATGATGAAACTAATCATTCTAATTACCCAATATCAAAACAAATGATATTTTGGAAAGGTACTAAACATGCTGAAAGAGTTATAAATACATCAGTGTCTATAATGTACGGTTGATAGTGTTTTTCTTCCTCCATACACATTGAATAAAGCTGAGCGTCTAATGGACTTATTTATTTATTTTTTTTAAATAACTCCACTATTGTACAAGCAAAAGATAACATATTGGCGATTTATTTTAGAATGTTGTTATCCCTCCTTTGGCACTTATTACCGCTTCTACACGTCTTGGCATACTTTCTATGCATTTTATTGCATTATTTTGAATATCTATGTTATTGTGCCAGACTTTGATCATCTTTTCAATTAATTGTATTTTTTTGGTGATCATTTCAGAAGCAATTTCCCTTTTTATGGTCTCCCACAGATTTTCAATAGGGTTTAAATCTGGCATGGTAGCACTGGAATTTTCTTTGCTTTTAGGTACTCTGTAACCTTCTTTGCTTTATGGCATGGGGCAGAATCATGCATAAATGTAAATTTTTGGTTCTTTGGGAACCATTCCTTTAACTGTGGTACCAATCTTGTGTCAAGAACTTTTATGTATTGGTCCTGGCGCATAGTTCCCTCAACGATATATAAGCGCCCTGTTTCATGTCCACTAATGACAGACCATACCATTATACTTAGAGGATGCTTTACACGTTCTAAGATGTAGTCTTTTTGGAATTTTTCTCCAGCTCGTCTACGCACAAACTGTGATTTTTTCAACAATATCTGGATTATCGATTCATCCGAGAAACATACCTAAACAACATCAAAAAAACTTATAAGTCAAAGTTTTAATGTAGGCAAATCTCTAAATGGAATGTGTGCAATTATAACTGCAGTACTTACATTTTTCCAGTCATCGACGGTCAAATGCCGATGACTTTTAGCCCAAGCAAGTTTTTATTGCATTGCTAGAGTGAGCTTAGGCTTTTTAGCAGGTCGACAGCATCGAAATCCTTGTTCTTTGAGTCGGCGACGAACTGTCATTGGAGATACTGGTATTCCAGCATCTTGTATTAAAGTGGTTAGTATTCGCCTAGGCTTATTCCTATTTTCTAGGCAAATATCTCGTATTTTTTTATCGTCTCTTGGCGTTGTTAGCCGTTTCTACCACAATGTCCTGTTCGTTGAGGAGTATAATCAGCATTTTTGTCCAGATTTTTTTTTATTCGGTTGACTGTTGCCACTGAAACCTTTGTCATTGATGCTATACACCTTTGAGAATAAGAAGTATTCTTCAATAATACTCCAACTTCTCTTTTTTTGAGGGTGAAACATCCTTTCCCATATTAAAAAACACGTTATTCTAGTAAACCGTTATAGAAGTCAAATTATATGTAAAAATATTGATTTAATCATGTTTAACTGTAAAAATAGACACATAAATAGAACTCTATAACAAAATAATAAAAAAAATTTTAAAAACTTTAAAAAGAGAGCAATATACAAACAGCACTTCACGCGACAACAACACAGGTATAACTGCCAAAATTGTCAAAATTCGGGAAAAACCCTATAACTTCATAATGTGATGAAATGCAATGTTCCCAAACTCCCAGATTAAAGTAAAAGGTACATACATACTATTTGTAAAATAGAAAAAAAATTATTTTTTTAAAATGTTTTGTTAATTTTGAACTTTATTCACAAAGTTTTTAAAATTTGGTCGTGTTTCTAATAATATGAGCACCCACTGTATATATATATATATATATATATATATATATATATATATATATATATATATATATATATATATATATATATATATATATATATATATATATATATATATATATATATATATATATATATATATATATCATATACATATATATATATATATATATATATATATATATATATATATATATATATATATATATATATATATATATTGTGACCGTCGTAATAGCATAAAATAAGTAATTAATTTTATTAACAACACGATGTTTTTTTTTTTTGAAATGTTTCGTAAAATCTTATTTACATTTTCAAAAGATTACTTTACAATAATAAAACTCTGAAATAAATATTAAAAAATAGAAGTCTTTACAGAGAAATAATAGTGGACAAAATTTTCCATAATGAACCAATATATTATTACAAAATAACTCGTTAAATACTTGACCAAAATAACTAACTGTCAAAAATAATAATAATAAACTGACAGTAAAATTAAATAAATAAGTTAATAGCATAATGTGAAGTTTGTTTATTAAGTGAGAGATTCTTCCATTTAATGTGAAGGCTTCTTTTATCTTTAATTTGTGTTTGGTTGGGGCATTATCCAAAATCTCAAAAGAATCACAGTTCTTAATAAATATATGAGATTGTTTATCACTTTTAAGATGCTCATTTATTCTAGTTTCCAAATGTCTGAAGGTTTCTCTAATATAACTGGCATTACAGCCAGATCAAAAAAATTTATAGACAACATGAGATTTAAGCGAGGTAACTCTTTTAAGCAAAAACAATCTTTTATTTTATTATTAGTGAAAATTAATTTTATTGGAACATCCTTGCAATATTTATAAACAATTTTTGAAATTTTCATTTTAGTAAAATTAGAGTACATTCCAATGTATGGAAGCTTAAAGTATCTTATATTTAAGCTATTAACAATGTTAGAAACATATGGGTTCATTTTCTTATCAATACAGGATTTAATTTCAGAGTCAATAATTTTTTGTGGAAATTTATTATTTTGTAAAACTAATGATAGGTACTTTATATCTTTATCAAAACCAACCCAAGTTTATTAATTTTAAATGAACGATCAATCAAACAACGAACAAGTCTAAATTTGTAGCAAGAAGGAATAAAACTTAAAAAAATTTGTAAAGACTTGTATTCGTTTTTTTTTTTATAAATTGAAGTCGAAAACAAATTGGATTTTTTAATAAGTATATCTAAAAAAGCAATCTGGTTATCTTGTTCTTTTTTCATAGTAAATTTCAAATTTTTATATTGTTTATTGAAGTGTGTGAGCTTCATATTCAGATTTAAAAATAGCAATTTTATCATCCACATACCGTTTACCGTAAAAATAGCAATTTTATCATCCACATACCGTTTATAAAATAATGGTGGTGTAAAGGAGCAGATATTGACCCATGTTTGTTAATGAAATCCGACAAAAATATTAGCTAAGATGGGCGCAACACCATCCGTTTGATCGTAATATTTTCCGTCAAAAAGAAAATGTGAACCGAATGTGGAAATCTAAAGTAATTTTTTAAAATGAATTTTTGAAACACGTTTTGAGTTAATTTTATCTTTAAAAAATAAATCAGTTGCTATGCTGATGGTTTCCTTAAGTGGAATCTTCGTGAACAAACTTTCAACATCATACGAAACGATAAAATTATTAGTTACATTAGTTTGTTTTAATTCTAAAATGCAAAATTATTTAGGTATACGAGGAGACAATAAATGAGAAAGATGTTTGGCTTGGAGAAAGAAGGTTGTAGTTATATGTTCCGATTGTTGAGATGATAGGTCAAATTGTTGGAAGAGAAAGATAATTTAAAATCTTAAGTAAGAAAAAGCTGTTCAACTCTGCAAGTAAGAAAAAGCTGTTCAACTCAACTTTTAACTATGGTAATCAATAACAATATTAAAAAGAAAGAATTTTCAATCATTAAAACTCACGAAAAGAAATTATGTTCGCTCACAAAATCAGTAGGTCTTCCTTTTAAACACCAAAAGGGAAACAGACAAATAACCGAAAAACAAAATCCGATTTATAGCCGAATGAACAAATTCCGTATTATAGTCGAAAAAAAATAAGATTTTGGCACGTTCTACAAACAGTCGACGAAAAACACGATTTTGACGTAGTCTGTGATATAGTCGAATGACGTATTTTGTTTTTAAACGAACTATGACGAGGTTTGACAACTACCCGAATTGATAATTTTGTCAAATACAGTCAAATAATCGAAATAAAACCTGTTCCGATAACCAGTCGAATTTGTGTATTGTCATAAATCATTTCTAACCGAATTTATTTGGAAAAACATTTATAAATCGTCGAAAAATGAAATTCGACTATTTGTCATGACGTGTTCTGATAAATAATCGAACTGTTTTATTTTGACCAAGTCTGTTAACCAGTCGAAATTAATATTCGGCTATTCTCTGTGGCTGCCACATAAACCAGTCGACGGCTATAAAAATTTGGCAGCGTCATCAAAAGAGCCGAATTTAATTAAACCCCTCCAAACCATCGTATTTCGACTATAACTTGTACGTATTTTGAGTCGAAATTATACTTCAGTTCTTGTGAAACTACTCCGGATTGTGAGAATATTCACGATCCTAAACCTTTGTAAAAAAATAAGACGTGATTGACAGTTAAAACAAATGTTTGTATTTCAAAAAAACCTCAACATGATGAGGAAAAAAAATTGATTATCACAAGGGTCTCATTCTCATACGTATATAAAAAAAACCTCATTCCGAAATGAGGAAAAAAAGTTCACGGGTCTCATACTTTCTCATACTTCACAAAGGTCTCATACGTATACAAAAAAAACCTCAGAAATGAGGAAAAAAAATTCCAAGGGTCTCATTCACTTCATTCACACATGCATGCATTTTGTATCTGTTGTTTTATCCGTTCCAGAACGAATATCCTCCATTCTGATTATCGAATCCAGACACGAACAAACGATCGAGCACCTCAAATTGTCGACACGATTTAGACCTGAAATATTTAGGAAAAGTTGTTTAATTGTTATGTAACTAACTAAAGATGCAAACGTTTAAACGCAATATTACTTTTTTTAAATGTTTAATTACTGTAATACTGTAATATTGACTACTAATGTAATTGGAAAATAGAACGTTGTGCGTTACCTCAACCAATTAAAGTCTGGATGAGAGGAGAGACGTTTCCGGGTCCAATCGAGCGGGTCCAATCGAACGGGTCCAATCGAACGCGTTGAATGATGATCTGAAACCGAATTTTAAAAGTATTAAGTTTTAGAATATTGGTTCAGAGATACACGGGACCCATGTAAACAGTGTCTATTCACAAAATGTCTTCAGTATTAATAACTGGTAGTATTTACCTCTTATTTTTTTTGATTTTTCATTAGAAGAAGGAGGTAGAAGTGAGCCACAGTGAAGTGAAGATCCGGATTAGTCTGCAACAAAATAATGAAATATTCTACCAATCCGATTGATGATTAGCATTATAACACGAACAAAGAATCAAAGAAAAACCATCAAGTAATACTAAATTGCAACTAATAAGTATGATGATTATAATTAAACCAATAAATTTGATGAATAACATTATAAGATCGTGAATATTATCTCAATCTTTGAAAATTTCTATCAAATTATGTTAAAAATTACCGGTTAAAAGGTTGTAGAGCGTGCGTACTGCGGCTTTACGTAGTTATTCTACGTTTTAATTAACATCTTACAATCTTTTTTGGGTTTTTTGCTTTTTATAATTTTTTTGGATTTTGTATTTTTAAATTTTTTTGGATTTTGTGTTTTAAATTGTTTTTGGATTTTGTATTTTTAAATTTTTTTGGTTTTTGTGTTTTTTGAATTGAATGGAAAGAAATAAACAAAAGGAAAATGATTGAAAAAGAAGTGAATGAAAAGAAGAAATGAAATAAATTTAATTGAAAATAGAATTTGCGGGGGCGAAATCTGCGGCATCAGGTAAATCTGCGGCAAGTAAATCTGCGGCAAGATGTTCCCTAAGCGGGCTGGTGTACTTGGGACGGGCCCTACTACCGTCATAAACAAGTTTAATCAGGTTATAGGCGTCCACAAGACACCTGTCCACAGAATTTGCCAAAAGTAAAGTCCAATTAGAGGGTTTGAGTTTCCCAATGTGTTCACGAATTTGCGGGTCCAAAATTTTTGAAAATTGATAGTGACCATAAGTTGACAAAATGTCTTGTTGAATTGCGGGAGGAAGGTCTGAAGCTGACCGCCATGTTGCAGTGCGGGGAGGTAACGGCAAAGCCTTACCCTTTTTCCCTTTCCTCCCTTTCCCTTTCCCAGCCGTTCTAGGATTCAAAATTGAATCTCTAGAAGTATTCAAAGCGTCCGATTCCTCGTCAGAAGAGGTAGACGAGTTGGACGGGGTAGTTTTGCGGTGCTTTTTGCTTTTGCTTTTGCTTTTGATTTTTCAATTGTTTCGCAATGGAAGCTATTAAAGTTCCACCACTTGTTTGGAACACGCTGGGCCTTTATAGTTTTGAGGGAAAATAGAAATATTTTACGTAAGTGCTAGAGAGTGCTAGAGTTATTATAATATTAAGACAGATGTCCAGTATAAAGAGGTGAGGTTCAGAGTAGGATATTGTTCAGTGTCCAATTCAGTGTAAGGTGCCTGTTGTAATAATGTCCTGTCAGTTCCTTTTTAGTTAGACTCAGTTTAGTGATGTTTTATTTAGTTTAGTTTAGTGATGTTTTATTTAGTTTAGTGATGTTATCCGAGTTGTGGTAGTTAGTGTAATTTTCGATAATACATTTTAACTGTTTCAGTAGAAAAATATTTGGTTTTCCTACTTTTAGTTTTATTAATTAAATTAATTTTTGATTAAATGAATACTGTTTTAGTGGAGATATTCGTTTGCCTCCAATTATAGTATGTAAATAGCCCGTTTTAGTAAAAAACTACGTTTGTACCTAATTTTAGTTCATAATTAATACCGTTTATATGGAAATATTCATTTTTTCCAATTTTTTGTTTAAAATTATTCCCGTTTTAGTGGAAATATTCTATTCCCCCAACATTTATTTGGTTTTAGTAGAAAGATGCGTATTCCCCTAATTATAGTTTATAATTAATACCGTTTTAGTAGAAATATTCATTACCCCCTAATTTTAGTTTATAAATAATACCGTTTTAGTGGAAATATTCGTTTTCCTCCCATTTATAGATAAAATTAATACCGTTTTAGTGGAGATATTCGTTTGCCCCCAATTTTAGTTGTAGATAGCCCGTTTTAGTAAAAATATACGTTTGTCCCTAATTTCAGTTCACAATTAATACCGTTTATATCGAAATATTCGTTTTTTCCATTTTTTGTTTATTATTATTACCGTTTTAGTGGAAATATTCTATTCCCCCTTTTTTTGGGTTTTTGGTTTGGTTTTAGTAGAAAGATGCGTATTCCCCTAATTATAGTTTATAATTACCGTTTTAGTAGAAATACCTTTCCCCCCTTCCCCCCCGTCTAGAACTTACATATACCTTGTTTCTATGATTTTGTGTTATCGTTTTATACATAAATAATTTAAATTTTTATTATTTTTATTAGTACCGACATTATGGTAGCTGATTACGTCATAATAACTTAGGGAGCTGTGAGAGCTTCAGTCCAACCTTCGACTGATTTAGGGTGAACACGTAACGGAGTATCTCCCTGATCTAAGGGTTTGCGTTATGGCTGCGATAGTATTTTATAATATATACAACTCTAGATTTGCCTGGAATAATAGAGATGTTATCGAAAATAAAATATAGACTAATAATGGTAATGTAATAACAAATAATATCATAACACAGTTAGTATAATAACCTATTATATATAATAAACAACCATTCCTAGACAATAAAGTGACGATTTATAAGTAAATATATTGAGAACAAGTTCTGCGATTCGTTCTGTATGGTTCTCTGAGCTGCCGCCGAGCACGGCTAAATTCTGAACTGCGTATTAGTTATTTAATTTGTACTCATTCGACTGCATCTTCTGATGCGGTTCAGCTACTTCAGTCCCTGTGTAAGATGCTAGTAAGGAGGACCAATCACCAATAGGTAAACGAATCGTATTTTTATTGGGTAAACCGAGGGTACGATTCGTTCTAATTGGTTCTCTGAGCTGCCATCGAGCTCCGCTGAATTTTTAACTGCACATTAGCAGTCGATTGAGTCATTACTCATTCTACTGTGTCCTTTCATGCTGTTCTGCCAGTTTATTCCTTGTGTAGGGCTTCAGCAATTGGAACTTCTTGCCAGTAGGTAAATGAACCGTATTTGCTTCGGGTTACCCGACTGTACGGTTCGTTCTAATTGGTTCTTCTGGCTGCTGTCCAACATGGCGGAATCTTAAACTGCATTATAGTGATCAATCCAGCTATTACTCATTCGACTGCATCTTTTGATGCGGTTCAGCTACTCTAGTCCCTGTGTAAGGTGCTAGCAATGAGGACCAATCACCGATTGGTAAATCGGTCAGCTGTCTTCTCTAATGCTGCTCTGTGAGTTTAACCTTTGGGTAAGACCATAATAGTAAGAGCTACTGTGTGTATGTGTGAAAGTATGTATGTGTGTGTATGTATCTGGGTGGGTTCATACATTTATGTGTGTCTATCGATGTATATATGTATGGCTGTATCTATGTGTGTATATGTTTGTGTCCATATGTACATGTGTGTCTTTCTCCGTAGAACCCTCAAACAGCTGACACGACACCGACCAACAATAAAGAGGACATTATCCCTACACCATGCCCCAATATTAAAATAAACGACAGGACACCGAGCAACGAGGGAAGTAAAGAGCGATTTGTCTCCACACTATGCCCCGAAAGAAAAACTAGGGGGATAAGAAAAAGGCGCGGAAGTAACTTTTGCAGGGCTGCAAAGCAGCAACGAGAAAATAGGCTGTCGATTGCCGCCTTCTTGAAAGACGAAGGGTCAGCATCGGGATTTGATGTTCTGTAAAATTAGGTTTTGAAATATAATAGTGCTCCAAGAATCTGTTTTTTAATGAATATTTTTTACTCGTTTCTTTAAATTTGTCTTTTCCAAACTCAGAACAACAATCATAAAACACCTGACAATTTTGTCAACCAATCGGCTTCCATTTAAGAATCACATAAAAATCTTCTTAAATTTTACTCAAAACGCATGTTTTCTATTGTTTCCACTTTTCACCATTTTACCGCAACTTACGTCATACATGTGATGCACTTTAGTTTTTTAATTTGCACATGTTATGAATTCTCTTTTCTCGTTTAACAAAGCTATGGTAAGGTTAACTTTATCTTCTTTTGATTTATTATTACTTATTTTAATGAATAACAGCTCATAATTTTCGTATTTTATATTTTTTGTTTTAAAATTATTACTAAGCCATGTACTTAGCCTTATACTAGGACTCAATTATACATGTTTGGCTTTGACTTAGTATTATCTACCTATTTACATAACATAAATTCTTGTAAGTACAATGACTTCATATTATTATGTTCGAGTACTGAGTAGGTTATTAGGTTTTATATATATATATATATTTTCCCCTTAAGGGTACATGTGTCGCGTTGTATTTGTATGGGCCATCTCAGATTTTAGCTTTCGTCTAATTAATTCCCAACACTTTTGAAGTCTGTGGTTGAACGTTGAAAATAGTCTACCACGATTTGTACTTAAAAAAAAATTAGTTACCAACAATGAAATAGCAACCATTTTCGTGACGGTTTTTGATGTCTGTGATTGAACGTCTGCATTCGAATTGAGGCTGGACGACACCGTTGAGGAGGTCGAAGCTCAGGCACCTGTTGCAATGGAGGTCGAGGAGATGGAGGCTGCGATGCCGATGGAGGTCGAGCGTCGACAAGCACCAGAGGCTCAAGTGCAAGAACCAGTGGTTGGGCCAGCTCGCTTTCATAATGTTGTTGAAGTCCGGAACTACACCAGATATGAAATGGAAGGCTCCCCAACTATCTGGTTCGACGAGTTCCAAAAAGCGTATGTGCTGTCGAAGGATGGCACAGACGCTCGACCAACGACTTATTTAAAGTGCCATCGCTACACGGTGAAAAGAGGTAATTTTTAATTGTTTAATAGGATACTTTTTTTAACTCGTGAAAATATTCACGATCTTAGAATTATTATCATTACCATTATCATGATTGTATCTTAACATTTAACGGGATCCCCATTTAACCCTGTTAGGTTCATGTGGTGGTACTGCAAGGATTAAGGACGATACCCTGTACCTGGGGAAGGATCACTCATGTGGCGACATGAGTGATGAGTACCTTATTTTGCAGGCCAAGGCACGGATGAAATTTCGATCTAGTAATATTTGTTTTTGAATTTTTTATTAAGCCATATTTCGACTGAAAACATATGTCTGCCAATGTGAATAATCGAATTTTAAAATTTTTAACTTAATTAAAATCTTTAATTAAAAATTCATTTTATTCTAGGGCAAACTACCGAACCGCTGAGGGACATTTGGAACTCTGTCCTTAGCCAGTCGACTGAGGCCGTGAAGAAAAACCTCAAGTTCGAGGCTGCCGAGTCCATCATGAGGAATAAGCGGAGGAAGAACCTGCCTCCGATTCCCAAGAATCTGGCAGAAATGAAGGAAGCTCTCGACAATGGACATCCGTTCGTAATTTTGGGTATTTGTTTCAGAGACTCAAGAACTCTTCGTCGATGCCACCTTTAAAACACGGCCTCACCACGATATCTTTTCTCAACTGTTGAACATCATTGTCATCTACAAAGATTACTCTGTCGTGGTGATGCATATCTTAATGACATGCAAGGAGCAAGCACTCTACAACCAGATCATGGAGCGGTTCAAAGCTTTGGTTGGATCGGACTTCAAGCCAAAAAGTGTGATGTCGGACTACGAACGGGCGATCCTGAACACCATGCAAACTGCCTTTCCGGAATCGAGAGTGTCTGGATGCAGATTTCACTTCAGCCAAGCAGGTAAATAATATTTTAACCATTTAATTGATTTTTAACACGTTATTTATCTTTGTTATTTACTTCTTTTTAGTTCTCCGGAAAGTGTGTGCTCGCAACAAGGAGGATTTCTATAAAAATGTTGAGTTTAGGAATCTGATGCTCAAACACATGGCCCTAAGCACTCTACCGGCGAACCAAATGGTACCGGTATTCCAACAGCTGAAGCAAGAAGTGCTCCACTTACAACCACTCAGGCTCCGGAAGCAAGTCCAGATAATGCACAGGAATTACTTCTTAAAGTGGTGGTTCCAAGGCATCGGGCCCCAGCTGATCTCTACGTACGGTCTTGCACATAAGACCAACAACGTCTGCGAAAGTCTCCATAAGAAGTGAGTTATTTCTTAACAATATTTTTGAGTTAACAATGTGAAAATATTCACGATCTGGTTATTTTTGTTGTTCATTATTTATAACTTTTCCCAAATTTTTCAGAATGTCTTTGAAGCTGGCAAAGGCGTCGACAATCTGGAGATTCCTTACAGATCTGAGGATGTTTGTCATCGAGCCAGCAAAGATCGATGTCCTACAGTTGGACAACAACATCAGGATCCGGAGGAACATCAAATTATCGAACCAGGTAGCGGCCAAAACTGTGAAGAATCAGGAGGAGCGACTGGCCAATGGGGAAATCACCCCCATTCAACACCTCCATTTTATGGCCCACAGAGTGCCCACTCCGGTTCTTCCGAATGACCCAGATCAGGATGAGGTCGATGCAGAGCTGGCAGCAGAAATGGCCGCCGATGGCTACGCCGATGATGAGGATGGCGACGACGAAGTCTTTGACAAGTAAGTATACCAAGTATAATTTCAATCATTTTCTAGTAATTTCTATTTATAATACGATGTTAATTAATTTTATATGAAACTTATCTTTAAAATGTGTTCATTAATAACTTATCTTTAAAATGTGTTCAATACTTTCAGACACGGAGATGATGACGCATTCCTGGCAGCCGCAAGGCCACAGGCAGATGGACAACAGCAACCGGGTCACGCCGCCGCAGGTCCCGCCGCCGCAGGTCCAGCAGCAGAACCGTGTTGCATTTGCATGGCGAGCCCCAAGGACACAATACTACTGCCGTGCGGGCATGTCTTCGTGTGTTCAACATGTGCAGCTCTTCTCGAAGCCCAAGGACTTGACGATGAACCCGAGGGCGTCTATTTGTGACATCGGCTGTTCTACGCCTGAAAAAATTGACTGGAAATGGCTTTCTATTTCCTATTATTTTTACATCTACTTTCATTTTTCATGTACTTTTCTTATAAATTGACTAAATAAACAGATTGTACCTTTGATAACACTTTTATGATTTCCCGAGTTTTGTACATTTTGTACCGCGGGTGAAGAAGAAACTTTTGTAGGCTAACCCCTTGGGGGTCTCTGTAAAATACTTCATTTTTTGGAACCTCTTTGGGGTTCCTGTCTAGTGGTTATAGTACTCGCTTCTCACCCGGACGACCGGGGTTCGAGTCCTGACAGGGATTCGAAATTTAGGTTTTGTTTTTTGTTTAAAAAAACATTCATAAAGAGAGAGAGAGAAATGCCTTAAGGGACTAAGGGAATTAATGGGTCAAGATAAACTGGTCAACTGATTTGTACAAACTCCCCCCAGCGAAAAATAGGCCGTTTCACAAGCGGTTTATCTGTTTTTGTTATTTTTCAAAACACTGTGCTCAATCTGGGGGGAGTTATTCGTAACTCATATTTACTTTGGACAACTGATAAGATGCTAACGCTAAATGTACGCCAGTTTATCCACGTTATTCAGATGAACAGTTAACTATTTGTAGTTGAAGCTAAATTTTTTCAACATGAACATCTTTGGTCTTTGGCCTTTGGCATTTGGTCTTTGGCCAGTCATAAATACTACAGAAACAACAAGCATTGCACCGGACCTACTATTTGAAGACCTCCTGATTCAGGACAGGCTTGAAGTTGAAAAAGGACTGAACAACTTCACTACAGCTAACAGGCTTGAGATGGGACCCCTTGAGATCTGGCTTCAAGTCGACAGAGTACTGAAGAAGATTGAAAGGAAATTATACTTCAAAAGACGTATAGTTGCCAGAAAAATCAGACAAAACCGAAGAAACAAATCAGAACTTCACAAATGGCTTCTATTAGAAAAAGGATTGAAGGACACCGCCAATAAGATAGTCGACAAAAGACGTATTGTCTCAAGAAAAGTCAGACAAATGCAAGCCGGAAGAAAATAAGTTGTTCGTAAGCATAATAAGTACAATAAATGATTCATAACCATGTTTCTTTTATTTGTCTTTTATCATTGTGATAAAACCATTTATAAATTTTGCGATCTCAAGCTGGCATCGGCAGCAGAGTACCGGCCCCATGATTGAAAGGTCCTGGGTTCGAATCCGATGCCAGGTCAAGATTGTTTTTATTTTTTTTGAGTAATAAGAAGAATCCATATTTTGAGATTGTGAGAATATTCACGATCTTAAACCTTGTTCTTTTTTTGTAAGATGGCGTTGGAATTACTAAACCATTTTTAATTAAATAAAAACTATTTAATTAACTATGGCCCCACTGTCAACATAACCTTTAGCAAATTATCCATTGTCCATACTATTAGTTACGAAGACCCTGCCTGTACTTTAAAGTAGTAATGAATGAAATGCATTCAAAATAGTAAAATACTCATTGGTTTAGTATTATACGTTATAGACGGTTAATGTGATTGTCATAGTTTAAAGTATCTTCCTTAATGGCGAATAGAACCTAATGATTATTTCCTTATTTTTAATGGTCTCGACATTTGCCGGGACCTGTGCCATCAACCTTTGTCATTTTTATGATCTATCTCCAGAGGGCGCTATCTATGGACTTGTCCATGATCTTCAAGATCAACAGATGGCGCACATCGCAACTAATGAGATAGACCAAGTATTTATGTTTTCTTTGATAATCTACTGAATTTAAACTTGAATTAAATCAAATGAACTGACCATTAGTAATATTACGACAACGAAAAGTAACTTGCATCCAGGTAACAACAAAATGAAAGGCAAAAACAAACTGTAGCCAATCGATGGATGAATGCGTTATTGATGGCCTGGATAAAACATTCAGACAACTTTGCCTCCGGGCCCTTACAAAGGTCCGTACCCAATGATGAACTGATGCGTTCGCGCAGGTTCAGACATTACCATTTTTTAGGGCTATTGAGGCGACGGCCCATTCATTTTATAAACCGTATTACCGTAATACTATGTATGATAATTCATATTCATAGTAAAACTACTCCGGATTGTGAGAATATTCACGATCCTAAACCTTTGTAAATAAATAAGAAGTGATTGACGGTTAAAACAAATGTTTTTATTTCAAAAAAAAACCTGACATTTCGACTCAAAATACGTACAGGCTAGTGGTTATAGTCGAAATTCGATGGTTTGGATGGTTTAATTAATTTTTCACCGGTTTAATTAAATTCGACTCTTTTGATGACGCTGCCAAATTTTTATAGCCATCGAGTGGTTTATGTGGCAGCCACAGAGAATAGCCGAATTTTAATTTCGACTGGTTAACGGACTTGGACAATGTATTTTTGTCTTTCTACTAAAAATAGTGGCATACCCGTATAATAGCCGAAATCATTTTCGTCTGTTTGTATTCTTTGCCAATACGTATTTCGATGATTTAACAAATCCACCAATTCTTCACAAAAAATTCGACTCAAATCAGGTATTTGTCATTCGTTTATTTAACAGATAGTGGCAGAATTCGCCTAAAACACAGAAATTGACAAAATTTAGGGTATCGACTATTTTTTGGACTCTACAAAATTCGTGTATTAAACAGATTATGACAAAATTTAGAAGAATTCTACTATTATTAGTGGCAACCAGTGAATAATAGTAGACATGTTATTTTTTAAAGTTAAAATGACTTTCGACTGGAATCGGAAAAGTGTTTCTTCTATTTTCGGGTTTTGGGATCGACTAATCGTCGGAATTGGTCTTTTGGTTATTCGACGCGCTCCCATCTAGAGATACTATTTTTGCTCTGTTTTAGATGCATATTAGATGCATAAAATAGATCGTGCATAGATAATTTTTTTTTCATCTAAACTTAGATGTCTATAAGATGTCTTATATAGATTTGTTATAAAAACAAAAAAATATATAACTAATTTTACGGAGCGACAATTATAAATGACCGCCATTTAAAAACCATGCTTAAACTTATTACGAAAAACCATGAAGATTTTAACCTATGGAAAACATTAATGATTATTTCTTTTGATAAATTTTAAATAATAAAACAACATGCTATTATAGTTCACAAAATATTTCGATGATTCGATGCTTAGCATGTTTGCTAAAATCCTTGTGATTTGAAATTTATTTTGCAGAAATATTACAAAATTAATATTTTCAAGTTGATATCTTTATTTCTAGAATAAAAAATAATGTAATTAAAATATATGTATATATATATATATATATATATATATATATATATATATATATATATATATATATATATATATATATGTATATATATATATATATATATATATATATATATATATATATATATATATATATATATATATATATATATATATATATATATATATATATATATATATATATATATATATATATATATATATATATAGGTACGCGCACTGAAATTTAAATTGATAATATAGTAGAATGTTATATATCATTAGAAAGGCCTTTAATACAGTATTTTAAAGGTGAAAAAATTATTAAAAACAAACAATTTAAAAAAAAGTTATAACATTTTTAGTACCAAATTTAAGATATATGGAATTGTTGAAGAAACTGTGGTCAAAATAATTATTTTTTTCACTAAAATTGTTATAACTTTGTCCATTTTTATCCAAATACCTATATCTTGGTATCAAAAGATAGGTGTACTAATGGGCTACAAGTTCATATAGGTGCCTGGATATAGGGTGTATTTTGGGAGCCAGAGGGGGTAATGAAACACCGTCTAACCCTTAAGAAAATACAAGTTTTTGTCAGAAACAAGCACTTTTTTAATGTAATTATTATATTTTATATACAAAATATTGCCATAACTTGATTCCAGAACACTGCCAAACAAAATAAGGTGATCTTAGAGCTGGCCATAGATGTGGTTGTGATGTTATAACACCCTAATACAATAATCATACATTCTAATAAATAATTTAATCTTTATTACAGTAATTAAATAACTTGTTAAAAAGTAAAAATACTTTTTTTTACTATAAAACATACATTAGTGAGGTACACACTAACTTTAGGGGAGGGCGTATGTCGCACCGCCCCCTTCCCGCACCCTGACTCATAACAAAAAATAAAAATAATTTTATTTTTTTTATAATAATTTAATGTATTGCTAAAAATTAAAAATAATCTTTTATTACTATTCAACATTTATAATTAATGTACACATTGATTTTAGATGTAGGGAATATGACGCACCACCT